AGAAGAAGAAGAAGAAGAAGAAGAAGAAGAAGCGTGACGTGTCGAAAGTGCGAAAGTTTTTGCATTCATTTGATGACAGGAAGTGAAGTTTCTACATGGCTTAAAGCTTTGGAGTTCTGAGCGCTCGCTCGACTCGGAAAACATTTTGTCATCAGCGTGACGATGATGATGATTACAATGTGGTGATGAAGAGTAGCTGTGCTGCCTCCCGCCTTCTCTCAGCAGGGATTTTTGCATAAAATGTAAATCATCATCATCAACGTCCTCATTTTCAAACAAGCCCCGCCCCCAATAGATTTAAAAGATTTTGTCATGAGCAAAGATTTTTTTTTACAATTTTTTTAAGCTTCTTTTTTTCTTTGTTTTCGTTGTCGCCGTCGTCATCGTCGTGGCGGTTGTTGGTGTGGTTGTAGTTGTTGCTGAACAGAGGGAGTGTTAAAATGGGAGTTCTCCTCCTCCTCCTGCGGGGGGCGCTGCAGGCTATGACCCATCCTGCTCTGTGACGTCGTCCTGCGGCTGCTCCTGCTGATCCAGGCCCCTCGCTCGCTCCTCGCTGTTCATGGTCGGGCTCCGGGAGGATTTCAGCAGCTTCTCCTCGAGTTCGTGCAGCGACGGCTCCTTGTACATGCACACTGCAGGAGAAACACAAGTCTGTTAACGTCGCGGGACATTCTGTCGTCACCGCTTCAAAAAGAACAAATGTAAAGACTCAGTGCAACGTTAGCAGCAGTTTTCTTTGTGAACCAGCAGATGGCGCTTTCACATCGTAGACCGTAAATACAGATGGACGACCTGAAAACGCCTCTGAAGGGAAGCCAAAGCGTGGTTGCAAATAACGTCATCACCACAAGATGGCAGCGTTTGCATCTGAGATATATTTAGCTTCATTTTTGTGCGACAGGAGGAAGAAGGGATGTGTTGCCATCTTTATTTGGTCTGTGGTTAACGAGGAGCATTTAATAAACGAGTTCTGTGACACCGAGATAATCGGCGCTCCTACGACGCTTTGGATAAAAATGATGTGTCATGAAATGATTCGTTACGTCAACATGACGTAATTTACCACAACATTACTTCATATTACTTCATTTTGATGGTCGCTGTAAATACCAGATCTATATCATGTGATTTTATTCCACTTTGGTTCTTTCGACTCAAACAAAACATTTCACCGAGTTCTCAGTAGTAATGACAGCGTGATTATGTTTTCTGTAGTATTAGTATCAATGATATAACGTGTTTGTCTATGTCGCACACGAATATGTTGTTTAAAATAGGTATAAATACTTATGATTAGAAACGTGTGCAGAACAAGGTAGAGGTGGAGGAATGAGAGGTGCAGAGGTGAAGGACGAGTCGTGCAGAGGAAGAGGAGAAGATGGACGGAGGGACAGGTGGGGGAGGAGGGGGGAGACAGAGCAGCAGAAAGCAGAGACGAGGCTTCATGTTTCCTGTTAAACCTCCATCTGTGATATTAGAGCTTCACTTTGACCTCGGAGGAGGACGACCTCAGCGCTCCGCCTCCGAGATCCTCGCCCGCCGGTCCATTTCTAACACCGCTGCCTCCGGTGGTCGAGCGCTGCAGCTGACAGCAGATTTATGACGCAGCAAAATAAACGCGTGAGTTTTGTTCATGTTCACCTGCTGCGGTTAAACAGTTTCAGTTCGGTGGGATGACACAGAGCTCGACACGTGTGACTGCAGGTGGCGCTGTTGCTCAGTAACAGTTGTACAGTGTTGAAGCAGCAGCGCAGGTTTGAATCCGGCCTGAACTCTGGGAGAGAAACTTCATACGACTTAGATTGATTGAAAAAAAAACAACTGATAATCGAATAAAACGTAGCTTCAGTGTCTGCGTCAGAAAATAAATTCTGATTCTCTCTTACACGGACATTTAGTTAATTACTTTCACTAAAGCTTCCAAATCAAATCCAGTCATTTGATCTTATGAAGACAAACTGTGTAAACAGAAGAGGACGCGGTTCCTTCTCACCTTCGATGGGTCTGGGGACGAAGTGCGAGCAGGGTTTGGTTTTCTTCACTCGGTTTCCCTTCATGATGACGCCGTCCTTGTTGAGGCCCAGGAACCAGGCGCGGCCCGACTCGTGCTGCCGGTACAGCGTGGACGAGTAGATGACGTAGTAGTTCTCAAACACTGACTCCTTGAACTTACACTCTGCTGTGAACACATCCTGACACACACACACACACACACACACACA